GACGTGATCGGTGGATTTTTTCCATTTCTATTTTGCCCTCTGGTTCTAGAATATCAGGGCAGTTTTCCTGGATAAATTCTTGAAAGATGATGTCTAGGCTCTTTTTTTGATCATGGCTTTCAGGTAGTCCAACAATTTTTTAAATTATTTCTCCTGGATCTATTTTCTAGGTCAGTTGTTTATCCAATGAGATTTTTCACACTGTCTTCTATTTTCTCATTCTTTTGGTTTTGTTTTATAATTTCTTGATTTCTCATAGAGTCGTTAGCTTCCATTTGCTTCATTCTAATTTTTAAGGAAGTATTTTCTTCAGTGAGCTTTTGGACTTCCTTTTTCAATTTGGCCAATTCTGCTTCTTAAGGCATTCTTCTCCACATTGGCTTTTTGGAGTTCTTTTGCCATTTGGGTTAGGCTATTTTTTAAGGTGTTATTTTCTTCAGTATTTTTTTGGGTCTCCTTTAGCAAGCTATTGACTTGTTTTTCATGATTTTCCTGCATCACTCTCATTTCTCTTCTCAGTTTTTCTTCTACTTCTCTTACTTGCTTCTCAAAATCCTTTTGGAGTTCTTCCATGGCCTGGGACCAATTCATATTTTTCTTGGAGGCTTTGGATGTAGAAGCTTTCACTTTGTTGTCTTCTTCTGGTTGTATGTTTTGATCTTCTTTGTCACCAAAGAAAGATTCTATGGTCTGAGGTTTTTCTTTTATGTGTGTGTGGTTTTGTTTTTTTTTTCTTGAGCTGTTTGCTCATGTTCCAAGCCAATAACTTGACTTTTAAACTCTTTGTTAAGGTAGGGGTCTGCTTCCTGTGTGGAAGATGTACTGTCCCAAGCTTCAGGGGTTTTGTGCAGCTGTTTTCAGAGATACTTCTAGGGACCTGTAAATTTTTAGTTCTTCCAAGGTGGTATGATAAGGGGCGAGGTGTTTACTCCTTTCCTGGCTTGTGCTGTGGTCTATGAGTGACCACAAGCATTCTTTTCTGCCTTGGAACTGTGAAGAGGTTTCCCTCTCCACCACTGCCACATGCTCCAGCACGCCAACACTCCTCCTTGCCCCAGGACTGCCATCCAGGACTAAGACCCAGATCCAAGCACAGGCAAAGCAAGAATCCTGCCTCAGCACCAGCAACAAGATCCCTGCAGTCCTCCTCTGATCAGCTGCTCAATCTTCCCACTGTCTGTGGGATGAGAGCTCCAGAAGCAGCTGCCACCCCAGGGCTGTGCCAGGACTGGGGCGAGATCCAAGCTCCTCTCTTACCCAGGTCCGACAGACCTTTCCTACTGACCTTTTAAGTTGTCTTTGGCGTTTGTAGGTTGAAAGTCTGGAAACCGCTACAACTGCTAGTGATCCAGTCCCCTGAGGACTGCTCCAGGTTTGCTGAGGCCTGGTGTTTGCCTGTGTGGCCCATGCTGATCTGTGCTCCTTCCCCAGCCCAGCACAACAGACCTTTCCCATTAACCATCCAGGTTGTCTTGGGCTGGAAATTTGTTTCACTCTGTCTTTTTGTGGGTTCTGCTGCTCTAGAATTTGTTTAGAGTCATTTTTTACAGGTATTTGGAGGAGTATGGGGGGAGCTCAAGCAAGTCACTGCTTTTACTCTGCCATCTTGGCTCTACCCTGTGTAATTATCTTTTAGTGCATACATATATACATACCCATGTACATACATACATATATATTCCTTTCAAAGAGTTTTCATTTTATGAGTGTGGTCTATATTCAGGTGACATTCAGATTAATTTGGTAATTGCTATTTGATCACTTTTCAGTATTCATACTATGACCCCAGCTATGGTAATAAAATATTGCCTAATAGAGATACTTTACCTTGGCCTTTTAGTTCTCCTGGCTTCCTTTGAGGCTCAGCTTAAAGCTCACATTCTGCAGGAAGCCTTTTTCAGTACCCCCAGTTAGAAAAACATTCCTCTTTCCAATTACCTTCCACTCTGTGGATGTATCTATATATCTTATATGTGCCTAGTTATTTACATATCATTTCCCTCATTAAAATATATGCTCCATAAAGGCAGGGACCGTAGTTTGTTTTTGGTTTTTTGCTTCTTTGTATCCCCAGCACTTAGGACAGTGCCAGGCACATAGTAAGGGTTTAATAAATGCTCTTCAATTAATTGATTGATTTTAATCAGAGACAGAAGAAAATAACATTTGTCCCAGCACTTGTCCACAGTGCAATTACCAGAGGCTGAAATAATGAAGTTTCACTAAATTAATGAAGGGTGAGCGAGCACGCGCACATATGCACACTCACACACACACACACACACACACACACAAACACCTGATTAAGTGGTATTGACAATTACTACATTAGAGACAGTATGGTTATAAACTGTCACAATTATAAGGCGCCTTTCTTCATATAAACAAAGGTGTTTATGGTTCCCATCAGCAGGACATGGATACTGCAGTGTTATTTCCCCCAGCAGTAGGGATGGTTTCCAATCACCTAGCCACACTTACGTGGTCCTTGTAACTAACACTACATTCTTGTAAGATGGTTAACATTAATAGGTATAGTAGAGAAAACAGACCTATAACCTTGATCTCATCAGCAAAGGATTTTCCAATAAGCTAAATTATTTTTATCCTGTGTGAAAATTTCTGACAAATACAAAAACAAATTTTACAGGCTAAAAAAATCTGAGTTAGGCTGAAATAACTCAAAAGCCACATTCTCTATAAAGTTTTCTCTGGTTGGGGGCCACATGGGGGCCTGTGGAAAAGATTTTGGGATTTTAATGGTGTGAAAACTCAGTGAGTCAATGAGTCAACAGAGATATGGCAGCCAAAAAGTTAGTGCTCCCCTAGACTGTAGCATCCAGAACTCATCACCTCACAACTAGACTACTGCAGCAGCTTTCTAGGGGGTCTGCTTGCCTCAAGTCCCTCCCCACTCTGGTCCCACAATGTCACACACTCCCTCCATAGCTCCATCCCTATCACCTCCAGGATCAAATACAAATTGCTCTGTTTGGCCTCTAAAACCCTTCATAACTTAGCCCCCTCCTACCTTTCCAGTCTTCTTACACCTTATTCTCATCCACACGTTCTTCAATCCAGTAACACTGGCCTCCTGACTGTTCCAGAAACAAACCGCTCCAGTTCTTGGCTCTGGGCATTTTTTCTAGCTGACCCTCCCCAATGCCTGGGATGCTCTTCCTTCCTCATCTCCCCAGCTGGCCTCCCTGGTTTCCTTTAAGTCTCAACTAAAATCCCATTTCCTAACTCCTCAATTCTAGTGCTTTCCCTCTCTTTATTATTGCCTCGCTATCCTGTATAGAGCTTGTATGTACATAGTTCTTTGGTTATTGTCTCTCCTATTAGATTGTGAACTCTTTGAGGGCAGGACAAAGGACTGTCTTTTGTCTCTTTTGTATCCCCTCATTGCTTAACCACGCCAGGCACACAGTAGGTGCTTAACAAATGTTTACTGACCGACAGATCCTGAGAAGTAGTAGAGCTCGTTAGGAGCCACATTTTAGGAAAGACAGTGCCAAGCTAGAATGTGCCCAGAAGAGGGTGGTAAGAACCTAAAAGGGATGTACAGTACGTTTATAGGAGGATCAGCTGAAGGAATTGGTGATGTTTAGACTAGAGAAGAGAAGATTTAGAGGGGACATGAAAGCTCTGTTCAAGTGTCCGAAAGGCTGTCCTGTGGTGGAGAAAGGTAGAAAAAGGAGACTTGGACAACTTGGCCCCAGTGGGCAGAACCAGGAGCAATGGGTAGAGGTCATGCAGACAGGCAAGATGGCCAGATGGAACAGAAAAACATCCTGACAATTATTAGAGCTATCCAAAAATAAAATGGGCTGGCTTGGAAGGGCTGGGCTAGGTGGCCCCCGGGGGTTGCTTCAAACTCTTCTCTTCTATGACTTTTCCCCTCAGAACTCACAGATGTTCTGGTTAGCATCTCTCTAGCATATTTATCCTATAGCATCAGGAGCTCTAGTTACAGTTTTGTTTGCATTATATCCTCCTACTAAGACTTGATGTTCCACAAGGGAAGAGACGTTTCATTTAAATTCCATTTCTCCTTCCAGTAGCTAGCACATTGCTTTCTAAACAGTAGGCACTTAATAGATGATTGTTGTGGAGCAAATGTTGAATAAGAAATGTCTGATGTGCATTTTCCGAGACCTTGCAATCTGAAACCATATTTTGATTATATCACCTTAAAATACTTTTGTTTTATTTTTGGTTTTTTGGTTTTGTTTTTTTTTTTGGCTAGGCAATGGGGTGAAGTGACTTGCCCAGGGTCACATAGCTAGTGAGTGTCAAGTGTCTGAGACCAGATTTGAACTCAGGTCTTCCTGAATCCAGGGCCAGTGCTCTATTCACTGTGCCACCTAGCTGCTTCCACCTTAAAATACTTATACTGAAAATAGAGGTGAAAGTGCTGGAAGGGTACAGTGAGATTCTAGACAAAACTGAGATACTTAAACTAAAAGATAAGGTTAAAACTACAGATCCTCAATTTTTTTTTTGTAAAATTTTTACATTGGAAAATTAATATACATTTACTGAATATCAATATGATCAGGTTTTATATCCTTTTCCAGAAGTCTTAACTACTATTAAAGAGGAATAGGGAATTAGAGCACCTGGGATAAAGATTGGACCTAGAACTTCGTTAGTATAGGGCATTCCCAGATAAGGAACCTCTTAGCCAATGCAAGTCAGTACTTTCTCTTCAGCTTCTGTCTTAGAATTACCTAAAACACTGAGAAGGCTAAGGGACTTACCTATGACTATATAAACAACAATAGCAACAACAACAACAAAAAACATTGGTGGTCAAGGGACTAACCTCTCAATAGGTCTTTTAGAGGCCTAGAGTAAGTTATGGAAATCATTTATGCTTAAGAAGGTTTAAAAAAGAGATACACAAGGGTAGTCTCCGGCATCAAAGACACCTAGTACCACAAAAAGGACAAAAGGTCTCAAAGTTGTTAGAAAATAAACTTCCCCGAGTTCCTTACCTTCTTCTCGGCGTAGATTTCTTTCAATGTTTGCTACGCACGAAGCACAAGTCATGCCAGTGACCTGAATGTAGCATTTGGCTGGAATCTTTGCCTCCTCCTTATCATGGACCAGAGGTTTTGGCTCTTCTTTATTATGAGTTGCTATCATTGGTTTGCTGCATGTTTCATTATCTGAATCTAAAAGCAACATTTCCAATAAAGACTGTGTTATAAACAACAAAAGTTACTAGCTGTGTGACCCTAGGCAAGTCACTTAACCCCATTGTCAAGCCAAAAAAGAAAATAAAATAAATATACAACAAAAAGTTCCATTCCTGGGGGCAGGGGAAATAGGGTTTGCTTATTTGCAGTGTTACATCAAAAGGTTTATAGTCTATACCAGTGGTTCCCAATCTATAGGCCGATGACCATTGGAGGGCCATGGAGTTATTGCAAGGGCTCCATTTCATTAATAATATACCTTCTATGTACAAAACACCATATGTGTATGGAGTTTTCCAAATATACTACAAATCCATTTAAAGGAATCCTAAATAAATACTTTTTGTCAGTATGTATTTTCTAATTGTTGATTGTTGGATGTTAGAAAAAGGGTGCTCAACCTGGAAAGACTTGTATGGTCTGATGCTGAATGAAGTGAGCAGAACCAGGACAACGCTCCACGCTGTGTGATGACTAACACTGATAACTTAACCCTTCTCCAGTAATGCAAAGATCTAAGACATCTCCAAAGGCCTCATGATGGAAAATGTTATCCACATCCAAAGAAAGAACTATGGAGTTTGAATGCAGATTGAAGCATACTATTTGCTATTTTTTTTCTTCTGTTGTGTTTTGTTTCCTCTTTCTGGTGGTTCCTCCTATTAGTTCTAATTCTTACTTACAACATCACTAATGTGAAAATATGTTTAATAGGAATGTATATGTAGAGCCTATAGCAGATTGCGTGTCGTTTTGGCGAGGAAGGCGGGGACGGAGGGGGAGAAAAATTTAAAACTCAAAAGCTTATGGAAGTGATTGTTGATAATTCAAAATAAATTAATTTAAAAAATGGAAAAAAAAAAAAGAAAAAGGGTGCTCATAGCACAAAAGGTTGGGAATCATACCTGCAAAGATGCTTCCTGGTTATTTGACTAATAAAATATCCTTGGGATATCTCCCAGTATTGAATAAACAATAAGGCAAAAATGAAAATCATTAAGTGACTGCTGAGCAACTTGGTATCTTTCCACTGCTCTGACTCCCCATTTCCTTACTACCCAGCTCTGTCCAAGTGGAATCTCAATTGAATCAAAAGAGCACAGATCTTCCAATCACTGCCATCCTCCTATGAGTAGCTGGTAGATAAATTAAGAGGGGATAGACAGATAAGGGGAACTTTTCAAAATTACTTTTAATGGTCATATGAATATGTATAACACCCCTACAGAAGTAGATGTGATTGTTTTTAAGTAAAACAGGCATTAGCCTCATTGATACTTCTCTAGTTATCTGATACTTTTCGTGAGGAGGAGTTTGGGTAAAAGTCCCTTCCTGTTAATAAATGTTTACTGACTAACAGATGCTAAGTAGGAGTTCTGCTCTACTCTGCCCCAGTCAGAACATGTTTCTCCCCCTCAAGCGAACAACTGATATCACTGTTGGGATATCAAAATCACAATGGAAAAGCACTCTCCTGACCCACAAGGGGCTTTTAAACAGACAAAAAGATCAAGTTTACAGAAGAAAACTGGAAAAGATCGTACCAGTAACTAAATAAAAAGAAGGTAGAGAAAAAGTGGAAATTATTTCATAAATGCCTTTAATGGATTCTCTTGATAACTTAGTTATATGAACTAACTTTGACACAGCAAAGACAAGCCTAGATGGCAAGATCTGCAAGCCTTTAAACTGGGTTCAAATCTCAGCTCTGCTACTTACTTCCAATCTGCACAATCTTGAACTTATCCTCTCTGGGCCTTTGTTTATTTATCTGTAAAAAAGAGACTAACTGATTTTCTAAGGTCCTCTCCAGTTCTAAATCTATGATACATTGAAGTATGAGATAACTCCACCATCTATGAGGCTAAAACAAGCTTAGAGTTGAGAGTGAGAAGACTCTTCATGATGATTCTCCCATTCAACAAAACTCCCTTACCTATGCAGCCTAATTTACACAGGTGAAGCTATTATAAAACAAGCAGCTGAGAATGTTACCCTCCTTTTCAAGAGGTAACACAAGGTCCATTGATCAGCCTAACAGTGAGCTGGGGTGAAGGTCAAACTAGATTCCAGTGTTCCTACCTAACTCTTCACCTGAATCTAACCAATAAGGCCACATTTATCAAAAACAGCAACTTTTCCCTAATTAGCTCTAATAGGCAAAAATAAACCTACCACCTGAAGGCTAAAAACAGTACGGAAACTGGTAAGCCCAAGCTTTTAATTCTATTTAACTGTCAAAAATTAGGCAATGACTTTGGGTGGATGGCATGATAAAACATTTACACCTCTAATGAAACACAGGAAATATTCATTAAGCAGCAGCAGACATCAGAGCAGAGGATATTTGAGAAGGATTCTCTGCAGATCAGCAGTAATTAATGCCCTGCTGCAAGGTAAAATGCAGGGAATTTTTGCTTCAATCCTTCACTCCCTGGAAACCAAGGGAAGCCTCCACTCTCCCTTGTAGTCTCAGGAAATTCCCATCTAATGTTCCTCCCCTTGCTCCCTCTCTTCCTTCTAGAATTAACCACTACCTATGAGGGCGAGGATTGAGCACAGCCTAGCCCTACACCTGCAGTGAGTCGATATATGTGAAGAAAACCAAGAGGCTGAATAGCATTGACCACTAAAGGCCCTATGTGGTCTTTTCCCCATGGACAACTGGTTGGAGGCCTGCCTGGCATTCCTCTGTAGCGGAGCTGGTCTTCAAGGGATTTTATTTTGTTCAAATTTTGGCAAAAGTTCCAGTCATTTCCCCAAGTACAGGGAACTAGATTCTCCCAGTGTCTTAGCTACTTTTCTGGTCATGGGAAAACAACCGGAAGTGTTGGCCGTACCCTGGTATTTAGTACTCAGGAAAAGTACTGGGGCAGCTAGGTGGCGCTTGGATTCAGGATGGACCTGAGTTCAAATCCAGCCTCAGACACATAACACTTACTAGCTGTATGACCCTGGGTAAGTCACTTAACCCCACTGCCTAGCCAAAAAAAAAAAACAAGAAAGAAAGAAAAGTACTAAGACATACCAGAGTTGCCAAGGAAAAAATTCCAAAAGGTGTCTCATTTTCAATGGCAATAGTTTACCCCAGACAATGGGTAAACCCAGCTTATTTCCTAACTTAATCTTGCTTTTAAAACTCCCTTATTTCTTCAGAATTACCAATAATTACTCAGAAACCCAGCTCATGCAAAAAATTAGTTAATAATAGCAATCACTTAAAGTTTTCTTTCAGATTAATTGGGTTATTTCAACTCCAAGAGACAACTTAACCCTTAACCTATTTATTCTTCTGCAATTTTGACACCTTTTAAGTGTAAAAGAATCTTTTTTTTTTTTTAGGCAATTGGGGTTCAGTGACTTGCCCAGGATCACACAGCTAGTAAGTGTCAAGTGTTTGGTCTGAGGCTGGATTTGAACTCAGGTACTCCTAACTTCAGGGCCGGTGCTCTATCCACTGCGCCACCTAGCTGCCCCTAAGTGTAAAAGAATCTTGAGTCATAGAAGCTTAACCCGGCAGCATGACTTCCAAATGCAGGTCCATAAAACAGCCAATATTTGGCTGTTTTCTAGGCCTGACTAGTCAGACAGAACAAGAGAAGCCTCTGCCTAACCAAAGATGGGCCTAAAGGCTTTAGATGTCAGAACAAGAGAGTCAAATAAACCAGTTTCTTTTTATGAGCTTTCTTTCCTATAGGATGTATTAGCATTCAACTCAAGAAGCATTTACTAATCTCCTACTAAGTGCAAAACTCTGTGCAAGGCCAAGGCCACAAGGAGTTTCATTGTATTGGGGGTTCGGTATGTACAAAGAAGTAAAGTAAGAAAATAAGGGTTAGAGTGCTAACAAGTGAGAGTTCTCGACCCTAGGGCTGAGAACTTGGATAAGAAAAATTTACATCTTTAGTTTCACTAACCTCTAACTGAAATTTAGCATTTCCTTCAATTATTTAGAACTATGATTCGTAGAGGGGTCCATAGGATTCACCAAAGAGCACTAAAACACAGTGAATGGGGGGGCTCACAAGAGAACTCCTGGAGGAGCTAGGTAGTATGGGAGGTAGGCTTTGAAGGAAGCTATGGAATCGATTAGGCAGGAAGGAGGAGGAGGAGGAGGAGGAGGAGGAGGAGGAGGAGGAAGTGCATTGTGGGCACGGAGGAGGAGATGAAATGGCTAGTGTGGAGAACAAGCAGAGTAGGCAGCTAATAAAGTGAAAAGATCCAAAAAATTCCCAAAAGAACTTTCAGTGTGTTCCTGCAAACTAAATAATCATTGACAAAGCTGATGGAGGGATTAATAAATGTTTGTTCAATTAAACTGTTTCATCTGCCCACAAAGCAAGGCATCAGCAGAACTAGAAAATGGCACAACAATAATGATGGAGGAAACAGAATTCAGTTCTATCTGAAAACCCGAGTTCTTCTCTTAGTATCATCATCTTACCAGGGGTCAGAGTCAACATTCCCACATCAGTAACTAGTTAGTGTTTGCTGAAGTGAACTGAATTCTTGGGTGGAAGGAAACTTGAAACCTCTTCATTACACAGATAAGGAAAAGAAGACCCAGGGAAGCAACTTGGCTAAGGTCACAGAGCTAATTAAAGGCAGTTAGCTCTAGAACTTAGGACTCCTGGCTGTTTCCATTAGACCACACTTCCTTTTAATTATTTTCCTTTGTAACTGCTGTGAAATCCCTTTAATCTGGTAAGATTTCCAGAATTAGAGGTACTAAACCTTCTAGTCTTTCCATGTGATTTTACTAAGACAGAGGAATAAATATGTGTCAGAAACTAAGTCTTTTGACATTCTCCATATTAAAGTGAGTGGAGTTAACACCAAGAAAAGGTCACCTCCTGCCACGCACGTCTTCAACGGTCAATAAGAGTTAGTTCCTATTTTCCTGTCATGGATCTGCCCCAATCACTAGGCACAGGGAAGCACATTTTACTTTGTCTCAGTTTCTGTGAGAGTGAAATGGGAAGGTCTCTGTGAGACAATCTTTGCCCTCATTAGGTCAGCAGAAATGAGTAACGCGGTCTAGAAACAACTTTTTGCTCACTTTGGAGAAGCTGCCTGATTTTTCACAAGTATTTAAATCAGAGAAGCGTATTGGGACATTTTCCATTTCACTTTCAGGACAGATTCAATTCAAGTTGAAAACAACAGTAGTTTGGCCCAGTTCACCTGTTGGTGGGCATATATTTCACACTGCAGTTCAAAGGTATCAAGGTAGTTCAGTTCCAGTTAGGAAAGAACCAACAGTTGGGACCAGCTTTTAAAAATGTAATCTTAATATAAGAACCTGACTAAAATAAACACTGCAGGTCACAGGATGATGGAATTAGAGCCGAAGGGACTTTAGAAGCCATCTAGTCCAACCCCCTTAATTAACAGGGGAGGAAACTGAGGCCTTGAGAGGTTAAATGACTCCTCTTCTTGGTCTCACAGCTGGTAAGTGAGCTGGGAAGCTGGGAAGCAGGATTTGAACCCAGGGTCTTTCTGACTCCAAGTCTAGCATTCTGTTCAGTCTGATACTCTACGACTCACTTCCATGTGATAAAAACCAAGAGGATCACCAAAACGGAAACAAAACAGCATTACAGCATCCAAGGAAAGGCAATTGAAGGAATTAATTACCTGTTAAGGTGGCATCAAATCCCATGTCCTCTATCGCTTCCCTCAGGACTTCTGGAGAGGTCAGTAAAGGGTCGTATTCGATAATCCCAGTGCCATTGGCAAGTGAGACACGTATACATTTGACACCTGTTTTTTTCGATATGACACCTTCTATTGATTGCACACAAGAATTACAAGTCATACCCTCAATGTTTATAACAGTTTCTTGAGTCAAAGGCTGGGCAGTGGCACTGCCATGTGGCTTCTGGAGAAAAGCAACTGTTGGAGAGTTCTGGGGGCTATTACACTCGCTGGCAAGACTTACTTTATACCGCCCTGGTGAGATGGCTTCTATAGCTTTTCTCAGGGCATCTGGAGTGATTAATTTGACATTGTACTTTACCACAGCAGATTTGCTCTCTAAAGAAACTGCCACGCTGTTTACACCTGGGAGCGTAGCTAAATGGCTCTCAATATTGGATATGCAGGATTGACAATGCATGCCATCTATGATGAAAGTGACAGTTGAGCCCTTAGGAGATACGGAACACTTTTGCTGTGACCCCTCATTGGATTTGACTGGTGTGTTCTTCAGGCGCTCCACATCGATGGTCCCCAGTTTGAGGTACTTGGGCTGCTTTCTGATGAATGCTGGGAAACCCACTGCCTCAATCTGCCTTCTTATTTCCTCGGCTGAAATAAGATGAGGCTGATAGACAACAGATGCTTCTTGATTATCCAAGGAGACTAGAAAACAAAAAATGCACAATTTAGTTGTTCCTAAGCTCCTCCTAACAAAAACAGGGCATGGGGATACCGTCTTAATGCTGTAATACATATTTTTTTCTCTCCCTCATGCTCCTCCTCCATCCATAAAATATTCTTTCCTTTCCAGAAAAGCAAAGACGCTTTATGTATTACTGTGGCAGTAGAGAAAAACGGAGTGACTGTTGTAGCCAGGTTCCATTAGAGAGTAACTGCTTTACAAATCTTCAATTCCTTACATCCCCCAGGCCCCCAAACCTCCTCCTCCAAATCAGGGTCTGAGAATCTCCCACCCTCTAATTAAAGGCATTAACTTACTGACATTCAGTCTAGAATACAAATGTGGGAATATCAGTAAGCATTCCACTCCCATAGCTTCAATACCCACTCAAAGAATGGAGCTTTGGAAGAAAGAGAAGGATCAAAAGCCAAGAGGGAAAAGCACTCCTTTCCATCAACTCAAAAAGAAATAAAGGGGAAAAAAAAAAAGAAAGCAAAGAGCATTACCCTTAATTCGTTGAACACCTTGCAATTTACTAATTTTTCCCTCAATGGTGCTTGTGCACGAATGGCATGTCATGCCTTCCACTTTCATCTTCAACATGACTCCGTTTGCTTGAACCACACTGGTATCTTCAGCAGAAGCTGGCTTCCTTTCTGGTGCTCCAGTATCTAAGCTGACACCCGGAACCAGCTGGATTATCTGATTGGCATTCACAACAGAAGGGATCATTGTCACCGTTGCTGTGCTTTGCTGAGGAGAAATGTGAACATCTGTTACACCCTTGGCCTTGAGCAACGTGCTCTGGACTTGCTCCCATGATGGGGCCAGTGAAGAAGTAACAGTCAGGGATAAAGTGTCTGTAAAGACAGGCTGAGGTGTCAGATCAGGGAGAGATGCCTCAAATCCCATATCATCAATAGCTTCCCGAAGTGAGCCTGGATTCTGGAGTTTGGAGTCATAGATAATGGTTGCAGTTTTTTTTTCCAGTGAAACCTGTAGGAAGAAAATTGTGAAGGCCAGTGTTAGTTAAGTGATGTGACAAATATTTTTAAGCTGCCAAATCATTATGCCATAAACAAGATCAATAAAATGTGCTCAACACCTTCCAACTCAGAGAAGTTTCTCCAGTACTTTTGACTGTGAATGTTCTCCCTGAAGAAAAAGTAGCATATATTGGTAAAACAGATATGGCTGAAGATGGGCATTCCTGACTGCGGGACTGGAAAAGCATCTGAAACATGTGCATGGACAAACACACTTAGAATTCCCCAATGGAGTACAAACTGCTTTTCCCTAACATCTCTTCACACAAATTGCCCCAATACTTTAAACTGGCCCAACATCTCATCAGGCTAAATCCCTAGGGAAATGGATTAGCTAAAGAAAATAAATAGGTATGGAGCTTAATCGTCAGATCAGAAATGGTTCAATGAAGATAACTTAAACGGCAGGGCATGGTGTAGGCAATTCTTGCCAAAGTCAACATACTGCAGGTCTGTGTCCGGAAAAAAAGCTTTGCTGTGTCTGTCGGAGTCAAGGCCACATTCGCTCATTCCCATGATCTTATAGCACACATTCCTATTCCCCTCCAGTGTCTATTTTTGCTGTCTCTCTAAGGGTCAATGACAACACACCAAGATTACTGCCATGACAACTCTTTTTTTCCCCCACATTACAAAGATGACTGACAAAGGGGAAAGTACACTAAACTGGCTGTCAGAATACTTGAGCTCTATCTAGTGCCAGCTCTTGCCAATTCCTAGATGACCTCAGGCTAGGTACAGAACTTCCTTGAAGCTCAACTGTCTTGTATATAAAATGAGAATACCACCTATCCTGCTCCCCCCTCCAGGGTTGTTGGAAAGTCCAAGATAAAGAGAGCATGGCCAGTGGGAGGGCATTAGACGAGTGGTCTGACATCACAGTTTCCGAGTGTATAAAACAAACACACACACACCCCTCTTCAAAACAAACAGTTAAAAATGAAATTCACAGCAATGGAAGACATTTAGAATTCCTCCACAATGGTTATTTTTATTTGTTTTTTTAGGCAATTGGGGTTAAGTGACTTGCCCAGGGTCACACAGCTAGTAAGTGTCTGAGGTCATATTTGAACTCAGGTCCTCCTGACTCCAAGGCTGGTGCTCTATCCACTGCACCACCTAGCTGCCCCCACAATGGTTATTAAATGACTCTTCCTTCTGTCATCAACGTAACCCATATAGTTCTTTATCTAGTTTATGCCAAATAAAGCATAAACTTCTGACCTTGGCCTAGTAGGCCTTCAACAATCTCCCCAACCTAATTTTTCAGGATACTTTCACACTATTCCCCTTCATATACTACTCTATGTTCCAGCAAAATGGAATTACTCTCAGATCCTCATTCCTAGAATGCTCCTCCCTCCCCATTTCCAAATCTGCTTAAATCTTATCTTTCCTTCAAGATTCAACTCAGGAATCAGTTCAGTCACGAAATCTTCACTAACCCTCCTCCTCCCCCGGGGGAGGGGGGGGAGTTGGTTTTTTTTTCCCTCTTCAGATTTTTTTGAGAGCTCTACTTAGACCTCTCCTTCACAAGTACAGTCAGCTCTGATATAATGCTGGTTTCAAAAATGTGAATCTGTTCCAATGAATTGAAATATTAGGGAACACTTTCAGCATAGTGTGAATTCTGACTTGGCTTATGCTCCATTTCTTAGGTGAGAAATAGCAAAAATGCAGAAAACTGTACCACTTCACAAACGGCAACCCTTCCTACACCTACTTCTACAAGCAAACTTCAGATCTTTGTCAAGGTAAAGTGTCCTATTTATCACGTATGTTGTCAAGCAGCAGGAGCTGGTGGATGGCCCTCCTGCACAGCCTCCAGCCTGGAGGCCCATAGCTGCAGTCAACCAGTCCCCAGCGGAAGCAGAGTATAGGCTGAGCAGCATCCAGAGGCTGTGGACACTGGGAGGTCATGGACTTGGCCACTATTTAGTGTAGGATTTAGGTACTCCTTAACCATTTAACGTGGATAAAACTGTGCTACCATTTTCATTAGGTACCTATCTTGTTTTTAACGTGTCATTGAAGAAGTTTTTGAGAATTGCTCCCCAATCACATTCTCCGCATATGCCCTGTGGCTTTCACTGTGTGACTTTGCATAGCTTGGTGCTTTGGGGGAATGTATGTGTCTTGTTATAGCAGAACTGGCTAGATCTCATATTTATATCAAATATAAAATCCTGTTTGGCATTCAAAATCCTTCACAACCTACCCCTCTCCCACCTTGTCAGTCTTCTTACACTTTATACCCACCCCCCCCCCCACACACACACACACACACACGCACGCGCGCGCGTGTACTCTCTCTCTCTCTCTCTCTCTCTCTCTCTCTCTCCAATTCAGTGGCACTAGCCTCCTTGATATTCCACAAACAAGGCACTCCATCTCTCACCTCTGGCAGTTTTCAGTGGCTGCCTCCATGCCTGGAATTCTCTTCCTCCTCATCTCAGCCTCCTTTAAGTCCCTGCTAAAATCCCACCTTCCACAAGAAGCCTTTGCCAACGTGCCTTCCCCATACCGAATATCTCCAAGTTAATCTAGGTGTCTAGCCCGTTTGTTCATGGTTGTTTGCACACTGTCTCCCCCATTATACTGTGAGTGTTTACCTTTTGTTGTATCCCAGCACTCAGCACAGTGCCTGGCACATAGTAGACTGTGCTGTGCTGGAAAGAACATTGAATGTGGATGAAGAAGCCCAAATTCAAATCCTGACACTGCCATTTCACACCTGTGTGAATTTGGGTGGTTAATTTGACCTCTTTAGTATTTCTGATTGTCCCTGACAAAAAACAACAAGGAATTCTTTTTTTGTTTGTTTGTTTAAAAAAAAAAACCTAAAAAACCAAACCATCAAAAAATCATGCCCTTGATTTTAAATGCAAAAAGTGCTTGGTGATGAATTTACTATACTCCTTATTGCTTCACTCTTAATTTATGAACAACGTAAGTAAATAAGGAAACTATAGCATGCTAATCAACAAAAATTCTCCTGTCATTTCTTCATACATAAGGAAAATACTTCCTTATTTTTTAACAGTTTGTGTTTTAAACTTCGCCTACTAGATATATTTCCAGGATCAGAGATATTAGCAGTGAGGGCCTCCTTCAACCTATGCACATCACAACCCAAAACTCAGAACTTAAGAGATGGTCTGTGAGAATCTGTGTGGCAGAAAAATGCAACACGTGTCGTCACTCGGTACTGAGCTTCTCAGGACTTGGCCAGGATGGAAATCAGAGAAGACACGGGAGCTGGAAATGGAGTCTTTCTAGCCTGGCAACATGTGTCAGAGCAGGTACAATACTAGACTGGCGTGGCCTTTGCAAACCTACAGTTACCTCCATACCACACCACAATGAAGCCACAATCAGAGGACTTTAGTGAACATAAGTCAACTTGTCCAGTTGGCTTTTTCCCCTGCTTTGTTACCCTAAGACCTAAAATGAAGCCTAATATGACTAACACCCCACTGTCCCCAGTGAGGAAATGCACATTTAACTATGACTTTCATGTTAGAAAAACTGCCCTTTAAGCTTTCAGCAGTTTAAGCAGCCTAGGCTTGGGCCTCTGTCCCAAGGTCCTGGGGAGAATGGCAGGTGTTAATGCTAGGCCCAGAATGAATAGGAAGATGAGGGTGAGCTCAACAGCTTCTGTGAAATTGTTCAGGGTGGACCTGTACATAGGTCTATATATGCACATAAAGAGACATATAGCCACAGTACAAACACTGACTATGTGTATTTATAGGTGTTAATGGTTTAATATCAACATGGCAAAGAGTCTCCAGTTGTGTTTGCCCCTGGGCTTCTGTTTAACATTTTTATCAATAACTTAGATAATGACATAGATGGGGTACTTATCGAATTTGTGAACACCAAGCCAGAAGGGAGAGCTAACACAATGGGTGACAGAGTGAAGAGCCCAAAGGCTCTTGGGGGACAAATGTAAAATCTTACACTTGATTACAAAAATCTACCTCAAGTACCACATGGGGTAGGAAGGGTTAGATGGCACTCGTTCTGAAAAAGATCTGGGGGTTTGAGTGAACTGCAAGCCCAATGTGAGTCAGCAGTGGGATATGGCGGTCAAAAAGACCCCAGCACAACTTTGAGCTGCATTCCCTTTCTCCCAGGGGTTATTTTAGATGATCGAATAAAATAAAACCTTCCAGGATTTTGCTAAGGATTGGTATAAGATTCCTCAGATGGTAACTTTACTCTTTTGACTATATCACATGAACTGCACAAGGTCCTAATTGTTAACTATATTTGATGCCCAGCACATACATCTAATATGCCTTTCCATGATATCACAATGTGACCACCCACAGGGCTACCAATCCTATTCTTTTTTTTTTTTTTTTTGGCTAGGCAATGGGGTTAAGCGACTTGCCCAGGGTCACACAGCTAGTAAGTGTTATGTGTCTGAGGCCAGATTTGAACTCAGGTCCTCCTGAATCCAGGGCTGGTGCTCTATCCACTGCGCCACCTAGCTGTCCCACACCAATTCTATTCTTAACATGCTCATTCAAGGTAAGAGTTTACCACACCAACATTGTTAAAAGGTAGCATGGCAGAATGGAGAGAGAGATGGCCTTGAAACCAGGAAGACTTGGGTTCAAGTCCTGCCTCTGACACACCCTGGATGTCACTGGGCAAGTCACATAACTTGTCACTGTTCTCGGCAATTCTCTATAACATAAGATGCAGAGGGGGGCAGCTAGGTGACACTGCAGTGGATAGATCAGGAAGACTCAGCTTCCTGAGTTCAAATCTGGCCTCAGATACTTACTTAGCTATGTGACCCTGGGCAAGTCACTTCACCTTGCTTGCCTCAGTTTCCTCATCTGTAAAATGAGCTAGAGAAGGACATGGCAAAGCACTCTAGGATCTTTGCCAAGAAAACCCCAAATGCAGTCACAGAGTCAGACACAAGTGCAACGA